TACTTGTAACACAATCACTTTCAAGACTTACATTTTATAGAATTTAATAGAATTTAATGCCTCCACTACATTAAAGGCCAAATTTCCTACTGTTTGTAACTAATTTTGCTTATGTTAACTATGTATGTGGTAATTTAAACTTTGAAGCTCGTATAGTTTGGCTTCGCGACCACACTGATGATCATCCTCGAGGTCCCTCTTCTCTGAATGAAATGTTTAACCATAAAAAATAGTAGTAACTTATTTATAATTATTTAACTGGCGATCTAGACTCTCCCTTTTTAATTTTTGATGATCTCATTTTCTATTTTTTAAAGCTAAATTGAAGTGCATTTATTTACAATCATAATACACAAATCCATACTAAATTATGTTATTGGAAAAATACATATGCTTTTTCGATAGGTGGAACTCAACTTGTACATTTCTCATCAAAATTAGATTCTTTAGTTATTACAGTACATTTCTATGAACTCTTGGAGGCTATATTGAATTGATCAATGTCATTTTAGCTATCAATTCTCATGATGACAAATGTTGGTTATAATTAACAAATCTAAACAAATTTAAATAAAAATAGTAAATTAATTTAAAAAATAAAAAACTATTAAAAAATTAAAATTTATTAGATGATTGAATGTCATTTTATAAAAATCCTATAGTTTAAATAAAATTTTAGATTGATTTTTCAAAATCAATCCAAATTAAAACGACCCATATCTATATATTTTTGTATTTATTTATTTTTTATTAATATGATGTGTTATACTAATTTACTATTAAAAACTTTTTTTAAAAATAAATAGTTTGATTTAATTAAATTATTTTATTTGTTTCATCCATTGGGGATCAATATCATTTTTTAATATTAACTTTAAATTTAATATATGTTATATATTTTATCAAATTTACTAGTAATTTTATAATATTAATAAAAAATCTGATTTTTAGTTTGAATATTTAAAAAATCGATCATAATCCATCTGCACGAAAATGAATTAGATCAAATTTTTTTAATTTATTATCCAAAGTCAAATTAAATCACAAGTAAATTAATCTTTAAATCAAATAATATTTTTTTTCAAAATCAATTTAAATCACACGCCAAACAACCTTAATTATAACCTTTAGTTAAAATGCAATTCTATGTTTGTTTATCAAACTTTATCTAATTGTCCCTTGAAAACTTCAAACCAAATGGTGTAACTTGTAATTCTTTTCTTCCTTTAATTACCTCTTAAAATGCTTGCAAAATACTATTACTAACTTTCCACTACACTAGTCACAATATATTTAAACGGTGTCCAGCTCTATCTTAGTTTCAAATGTTTGTTGTATAGTTTCCTTTTAATTAGAATATTTCATCTCTGTTTTATAAGTTTTTTTATTTTATGAAATAAATGACTCATTTAAAATAAAAAATTATCTTAAAATAAATTATTTATTTTAATTTTTATTTTATTTTTTTAATTTCACTTTTTAATTAATATTACTTTTATAATTTTTAATAAATATCATTTTCACTTTTATTTATTCATTTTTTTTAATTCTGTATAAAATAAAGTCGAAAAAAAAAAAAAAAAAAAAAAAAAAAAAAAAAAAAACTCTGGTGATTAGCCCCAACTAAATTAGTCACACAATAACAACAACTGAATTGAACTGTACTAGATTTCAACAACTCCTTTAATGAAAGTAGTTGTTTTTACTACAATCACAAACTGTTAGTATACCTCACATCAAATATCATATCAAAAACTGAGTTACTGCACTACAAAATCAAACTTTCATTCTAAAGAATCTTTTCTCCTCTTTCTTTAAACACAATAAAACCTCTTTCTCGAGACCAGTAACAAAGTACAATTTCCTAGTAAAAAATACAACTACCCACAACTTCGACCACTCCCATGAGCCTGAGAGCGACTTCCTATAAACAAAACCAACTCATCCATCTCTCACTTTCTCTCTCCTCTTTACTGTCATACATATCATGCAAATAGCACCTTCCCCAAACCTTTTTAACCACTCTTCACTTCATCTCTTATTCTCTTATATACGTTTTCTATGCCAGATCTCCCTAGTTACTAGCTACATTATTTTTCATTATTGACTTTTTCATTTTACCATCTCTCCTACAAAAACTCATCATTTGGTACTTTTATTTCAGAGTTTTCCGCCGCTTATCTAGCTATACCCTCTTTACTTAAAAAACAGAGTCATTTTCATAGAAAATGACGAACGGGTTAGAGAAAGAAACTGGGTTCACCATGTTCAATGATGATGAACTAAAGGATGTTAATGGGGTTGAGAGAGTTGGAGAATATGTTGAAGTAATGTGCGGTTGTACTAGCCATAGATACGGTGATGCTGTGGGAAGACTTAGGGTTTTTGTCAATGGTTACCTTGAAATCACTTGTGAATGCACCCCTGGTTGCCAAGAAGGTTCGTCTTTCTCTCTCTTATAAATATGTAGACTTTTTCTTACCATTTTTGTTTTGATTTCTTATGCTTTGTGTCTTTCATTTGTTTCACAGACAAGTTGACTCCTTTTGCATTCGAGAAACACTCTGGAAGAGAAACAGCTAGAAACTGGAAGAACAATGTGTGGGTAATAGTTAACGGTGAGAAAGTTCCGTTGTATAAAACAGTTTTTCTCAAATACTACAATCAAGCATTAAGATCATCAAATGGATCACACAAATCGCAAAATGGACGACCGTGCCACCGCGATGAGTTTATCAGATGTACTAGATGTAACAAAGAGCGTAGATTCCGTCTGAGAACTAAAGAGGATTGCCGCATTCACCATGATGCTTTGGCTGATCCAAATTGGAACTGTTCTAATCTTCCATATGACAAGTATGTTATGAATACATATTTTTCTTTAATCCAGCAATTTATTTATATCTAAATGTTTATGTATTGAATGCACTATGTAGTGACCATTATTATATGTATTGAATGCATTTATGTATCATTCACGATGTATAAATTGGATTTTTTCAGCGTTATGATGTGATTATTGTTGTTTATGGAGAAAATTTTAGTAGTAACCAACTGTTTAATGTATCTCAGAATTTCATGTGATAATGAAGAGGAAAGAGGAAGTCGAAGGGTTTATAGAGGATGCACTCGTTCTGCAGCATGTAAAGGTTGCACTTCTTGTGTATGCTTTGGGTGTGAGATATGCCGTTTTTCAGATTGCACTTGCCAAACTTGTACTGACTTTACAAGGAATGCCAATGTCAAAGCTTGAGTTCTAATTTTGCTCTTAACTGATGATTTTTTTAGTACCTTTTATTCGTTATTTTTCTGTGTAAGAACTTTGAAAGAGCTTTTTATGTTTAGAGTACTTGATTATTAATTATTTTCCATTAAATGATTAGAGGTCTTTATGTTTTGTTTTATTTACGTGGCTTCCTGATCACATATAAAAGATATATTCTATTCTTTATCTAATTAAGATCATATATCTGATTCTATTGCATGTTCTTTTAACATTAATGAACTTTAATATTCTTTTGATGAATGTTAATATAATAATTAGCTTTAAAAATGTGAATTAATAGGAGTGGTAAAGGTTTTTTTATATACGATATATGATTTCTTTTTATAAAATGTTTTTCATACAAGTTACTTTTAACCAGTTGGCAAGCTAGGAAAATAATGCAGAACCAATGGTAAATTATGATAAATACTCCCCTAATTATCAAAAAACATTGGAAAAATCTGTATCTAAATATAAATATCTTTTCAAATTATAGATGCATGTGTAATGTTTTATTTATTTTTAAATATATTTATAATAAATAATCCTCTATGCTCGAAAATAAGTTCAATCTCTCAATGCATATTCGAATGTACAATATTATTTGTATCACTGCATATTCATTATATATGATTTAATTAAGGCAATATTAAAACTCTTATGAATAATTATTTTAAACTAAATTGAAATAATCAATAATAGTTAAAATAAGCTTAATGGTTATTATACCATTAGAATTAATTATTATGGTATGTTACATCAATAATTTAAAAATTATAATCTAATTTGATAGAGAATCCAAAAAATTCTTTAGAATGATAAAATAATTTTTATGATTAATACATTTTTAATTTTTAAAATATTATAACAACAAATATTATATTTAAATTATTTGTAGAAACCCGTCAAATACAAATTTTGAGTTCAAAAAATTAGAAGATTTTTAGTTTACAAATAAAAACAAACTCCAAAACCTTCCGATTAATTTTTTTTTTATTCTTTTCACTTAATCCTACTTATTTTCCATAGCTCTGTTTGCACTTTCCCCCTCCCAAACAAAGCCTTAAGTATAGTTTTAAGAAATGTTTTATCCTCGCCCATAAACAATTGTTTTAGTATTCTGTTTCTGTTTCGAAAGATCATTACTTTTTCTCATTAAAGTTAACAAAATGGTCATTAATATGGCCTTGAATTATATACAACCTATGACAATGAGGTATCTTTATTCTCATTATTGTCTGAGATTAAGATTAAATGCCGATTCATAAGTGTGTTTCATCAATGGAAGAGTAAATATCTGTCTTAACAAGTTTGTTAAATACATCCATTTGAGAGTTAAATGCATTTAGTTTCAAAGTCAAATTCTATTAAAACACAATACACCGTGTAAAAGTTTCAATCAATGTCATTCCATTTTTGAGATCCTATTTATTGAGTAGAGATTCTATATAAGCATAGCCACCAAGGAGGAAATCTATTTTGCGCAAATCAAACTTGGAAAACTATTTTGCACAAAAAAATTCTTTATATGTTTTCTTTTTACAACTCATCCTTGGTGAAAAAATTTTGTTCACCAAGCCACCAAGGAGGAAATCTTCCGTACATGACTATACAAGTCTAATGAAAACCAATGACCAATGTAATATGAACTCAGTACATGAATGAATCGCAACAGAATGAGGTATCTGTTGCTTCCATAATGTTTCAATGTGCAATTACCTTTACACAGTAATCTTTATCTGGCTGGTCGCCAACCTTTACCCCCTCTATGGGATGGTCTCCTGCGAGCAGCAAATGTTCTCTCACGACCATCGGAAGCTCCGGGATTGAATTGGTAATGAAATTGTGGAGGATGCTGATTGGCTGAAATTGGTGGTGATTGAAAATTTGTTGGTGGATTGAACTGATGCGAAAGGCTGCTTTGATAGCTTGAAATTGGTGGTGATTGAATATTTGCAGGCGGACAGAATTGATGCGGAGGACCACCTTGATTACCTGCAATTGGTGGTGAAGGAAAATATGCAACTGGATTGAATGGATGCAAAGGGCCACCTAGATTGCCTGCAACTGGCAGTGTTTGAAAATATGTAGGTGGGTTGAATTGATGTGGAGGGGCACCTAGAATGCCTGAATTATTAACTGGTTGAAAATATGTAGGTGCTTGAAACTGGGGAAAGTGTGTCCATTGGTTTTGATTCATGAGCCCCTGTGCATGCATGGGTTTTGCATACATATTGGGCTGTCCTCCAGGATATACAGTCGGTGGAGGAAACCTGTGGCTGGGATTGAACTGCTGTTGAGATGGGATTCCTTGCATCGGCTGCTGATGAGAAATTTGAGTATTTTCTTGGGACCATGCAACACTATTTGTGGGGACTCCACTAGGCAAATTAGGAGACATTGGAGAATGTGGTGGCATTGCCTGTTGTGGCAGAAGAGGGGAAGAATGACCACGGCTAACACCAGAAAAGCCTTGTCCAGTGCCAGGAAGAGGGGAAGAATGAGCATGGCCAACACCAAAAAAGCCTTGTCTACTGCTCGGAATAGGTGGACTGTAACCATGAGCAACCATTAGCCTCTTAGGGATGGAACCATCATTTAGTGGAACCTGCTGCCTGTCGTTATTCAACCAATCAGAATTTTGACTGCTTTGGCCTCTTTTTGCCTGTCGTTGTATTCTCATGTGCTCGGCCTCTTGCACATCATCCGAAAATTCCGTTTCATTATCATCCGAAAATTCCGTTTCATTGGACACTTCCTCATCGTTCATACCGGATGCATCAGATCCTTTCTTGTAAAGTTCCTTGGAATCAAGCACATGCTTAGCAAACTCAGCAACAAACGAAATCAAAGTTCCCTCATGGACTCCTTCAGGGATTTCATCTTCCGAATTGTATCTCACTACATAATGTGGACTTTTAACTTGTGCGAAGGTATCATCAATGACACCTAGGGGTGTTTGCTTTCCAGTCATCCAGAGAACGGAACCTTGATCAAGAGGGTCATGATTCTCCGACCCTTCCACAACGACTCTAGCACCGACAATCTGGAAAAAAAATCACTTGAGTAAAGACGATTACAATGCTATTGGCATCCCTTCTCCTCTATTTCCTCTTGTAGTAATATTATTAAATATTAATGCAAGTAGCAGAAGGGTCCACCATGTAACCAAAAGAAGCTAAAAAAACTTGCAATAAACAACTTTTTTACACTAGAAAGCCTATCTAAATTTTTTTTATATCAGAGACAAGGTTTCAGTCATCTTACAGATGTAACAACTCCCAGAGGTAGCATTGTATGATGTGGTCCCAATTTCACATTCACAGTAGGGACCCTAGGAAGAATCTGCAAAATTCACAAACACAAAAAAGCAAATTAAAGTTAAACAACATACATGCATAAAAGTAAATAAATTGAAAAAAGTGGTCCACAAAAAGGCTTTCATGTTAGCTACACTAGTCTGATGTAACATAGAATATAGAACATAACTCACCCTTCATCCAGCAATCACATGTACCATATATTGCATATCGCATTAAATAACAAAAGATAACAACTTATATGTTGATTCTAGCATTCTTCAATCCTCCTAATGAAGCTTCAAAGTAAAATATGGAGGACTCAACAGATCAAAAGCCAGGCTTCAACAGTCCAACCAGTGAAAGTATGACCAATTCAGATTCATCTGTCGGCACAGAAGCAAAGTGGGATTGGAAACACAGGATTCAAACCCACCAAGCGCGTGTCTTTAATGTTTAACTGAATACATTCAAAATACCATTAGCCTCTAAATCAACCAGTTAATATGTCAAAATCTGAAGGAAACAAAAAACTCAGACTAATCTAATCATTACAAATCACAAAGACACTTCTATCACCTTCATTACCATTCAGATAAATCATACTACAGTAATTTCTAACATGGTACTGTCAGATGAACAAACATTTAACTTACAATAGATAAGTAAAAAAACAATACCTCAAGCTCATTCGCTAACCCGTCTTTTCTATCATCACCAATATCATTATCAGATGATTCTTCATCATCAAACCCATACTTTCTATCATCACCAATATCATTATCAGATTCTAGTATTTCACCTTCTTCCAATTCATACTCCTCATGGATTTTAATACCACCACTGGAACACTCATTCTCCCTATTAGAACCTTCGTTAACAGTTGCATTAAGATCATCATTAGCGACAATCTCACCTCTAATCTCATCATCATTAGTGACAATCTCACCTCTAATCTCATCATCATTAGCAGCAATCTCGCCTCTAATCTCATCATCATTAGCAACAATCTCGCCTCTAACCTCATCATCATTAGGAATAACATCGCCTCTAATCTCACCACCTTCACTCTCCATTCCAACAGCATCATCAACAGCCGCAATCTTGCCTCTAATCTCATCATCACTAGCAAGAACATCGCCTATAAACTCATCATCATAAGCAATAACATCTCCTCTAATCTCGCCACCTTCACTCTCCATTCCAGCATTATCATCAACAGCCACAATCTCGCCTCTAACTTCGCCAGCTTCACTCTCCACTCCAACAGCATCATCATCAATAGCTGCAATCTCGCCTCCAGCTCCGCCACTTTCATTTTCATTCACCTCCTTTTCAACTAAACCGGAATTCTCAATCCTTTCCTCAAAACAGGAACTACCAACTGGAGGATCCAGATCGGAAGAATCAAATTCAGTGATAATTGGATCAGGAGGGTTATCAGAGGTGGGGCTACAGGCGGCAGCTTCAAAATTGATGAAAGAATCGGCAAGAGCAATGTCATCGTCGTCCATGTTTGAGGCGCCGAAAAGTTAGGGTTTGAAAAAAAGAAGACATTTGGAATTAAAAAATACAACACATTTATAGTTAAAACAAACAACGTATTTAGAATTAGTACAAACGAAGTTCTTGATTTCCATATCGGTAAAGATTTTCCGTTTCTTTGGAAACGCTTCATCTCGTTAAACCCTAGGACGCGCCAAATCTGGGTTTCAAAACACAAGTATAAAAGTTTATTCCCGACCAAACGCTGCCGTTTTAAGGTCATTAGTTTTACTGTACTGTTGAATTAATTATACGCATATCCATAAACACTCATTTCTTTTTTAAAGCATTCATAAATACTGTTGATAATAATTATTTATTCTTTTTTACAATAATAATCCTTAATACTTAATATATTCAAATACAAACTGAACACTAGAATTAACACCTAATTTTTATCTCATTATTTCTAAGTTCTATTTGATAAAATTAATTGATAGCTAGTAAGTTAACTCTGATAATCTATAGTTTATACTTGATGATTGATAGTTTAGAGTTGATGATTCATAATTGATAAACTAATTTAATTATTTGATAAATTAGCGATTACATTAGCTGATAAATACAAAATGACATAAAAGACATTTTTAATTAAAAAAATTAGTGATTCTATTTATAAAATTAATTTGTATTAAATAAAAGTAAACATTTTAACAATCAAATACAAAATACTTTAAATATAAATATAAAATTAAACAACACAAAAATATATTAAACACTATATCAATTTTGTAATAAAATTTAATAAGATATTTAGAATAATAATATTATAATTGGATCTTATATTTCATTAAAGTCATATTTTCTTCTTTTTTTTCTCTCTCAAAATCCATGATATGCCTACCACTACAAAAAAATTTGATATTAGTTAGAGGCATTAGACAGGGATAAAGCTCCTTATTAAAAAAACTTAGTAACTTGGAGTTAAACCCCTTGCAATGCATAAAATAATAAGCAAAAAAAATATAAACTAATTTTTAGGAGATACCCCTCCCTCGCAAACAAGAAAGGAAAAAAATTTGAATTTTGAAACTTGCACTTGGTAGGGGAGAGTGCCTAAAAGGCTGGCAATGCTTACAACTTGCGAGGGGTCATCCCCTCATCAATTTAAGATATACATTTTGCAAGGGACATCCTCTCACCATAATAAATACTTTAGTCAAATCACTTGAAAAACATTTATTCCTACTGTTACGTGACAGAAGATAGACTGCGACACGTTATCAATGGCTAGGGGCAGCCCAACGCTAATATGATATTCATTTTCTGTGTGGGGTATCCCGTCGTCAGTTGTCTCCACGAGTCTCCAGTTGGCTTCGCATATGAATCAAGGTGTTGGAGAAACAGATGAGGAAGATGAGAAGAATGATATAGAAGTTGATTAAATTTGTTAAAATATGAAACTTTTAATATGTATTTTTATATTTTATTTTATTTTTGTCATGAATTATTTTTATTTTGATGGATGTGGATATTTTATTGCACTTTTAATTATAAATTATTATATTTTACAAATTTTAAAAATATATATTTATTTATTATATAATATAATTAAAATAATATAATTATAAATTTTAATAATAATATTATAATCATTAGTTAGGTGTTAAACCCCTCACGAATTCTAAAACATAAGACAATTTGCTAGGGGCTTTACCCCTCGCAAAAGTATGACACAAACAGTTAGAGGTTTTACCCTTCACTAAATGCATAACGCAAGTCTTTTAGCTCAGAGTTTATCCCCTAGCAAATCATTTGACATGTTTGTGCCGCTCTGTGCCACTAGTTTGTGCCTATTGCCTGTAGAGTAATAGACTGAATTTTTTTCATGACAATTTACGAGGGGCTTATCCCCTAGCCAAATTTACGAGGGACTTATCCCCTAGTCAAATTTGCGAGGGGCTTATCCCCTAACCATTAATTTGCGATGTCTTGATTAGTTAAGGGTCATATCTCCTCGCAAATTGATGTTTTGTGATGAATTTTTTTGCTTTAGTGAGGGGTTAAACCCCTAACTAAATGCAGTTTTTTTTGTAGTGCACTAATAAACAAATATGTTCAATTCATTATCATATTTATAAAAATAATATATTAATAATAAAAACTCAAGTAATAAATAATTGAAATAATAATTTAAAAGTAATAAAAAGAAATTTAATATAATTAATCAAGATATTTCATTAATAATAAAATGAAAGATAGATTGCATCATGAATTTGTTTTATAAAAATAATGACTAACATTTATTATTCTCTCCATTAAAACATAATTATTTTAATTTAAATCATAATAAAATATAAAGGTTAAAAATAGATTTTTATAAAATAGTAAGGATACAAATAGAAAAAAAGTCATAAGCTAAAAGCTACAAGCTCAAGAGTTACTTCAAATAGTTTTTGAAAAAAAATTAAAAACTAATAAAAAAAGCTACAAACTAAAAGGTAAAAGACAATTACACGACATAGTTTTTTCGTGAAAACTTAAAAACTAAGGCTCTATTTAGTAAATAGTTGATAGCTGATAGTTGTTGCACCCCAAATTTTGACCCCTTAGATCCTCATCATCATTGTAGGATCATATTTGCTTGATTAATTAACCTTAACCCATTTTTAGTTTATCTTTGTTAAGATTCAGATGAATCAGGGTTCCGTACCGTCAAAATCAAAACTTCGAGGGTCTGATCAATCAATATTTTGGATTGATCCAACTTCAAACAAGATCAAGGATGATACATTGAACCAAGAATGAGTGCAATTTGAGGTGATCACCCGGGGATTGAGAACACTGCAATTTGAGATACCCGATTAGGATTTTCGATTAGAAAAAGTCAACTGTAGCTTGAATTTTGATTTAAAGAGTATTTAAATGGTGGGATCAAGGTCCATTAAGCTCCTATGGCTTAGTAAAGTCCATCCAAAGAGTTTCAAGTCCTCAGGATGTCCGGATCACCAACGGGCGACTCGGTAGACACCGATCGATCGAAAGGTTGACCGAAAAGTCAACTCTCCAACAATAAGGAATTTGACTTCAAGGTGTGAATTAAAAATGTTCCTTATATCATATTACACCTCCCCATAAAATTTCATGACCATTGGATCAAGGGTTGAGAAGTAATTACAAAAATCGGGAATTAGGGTTTCGAAAGGGGCAAGACCATAATTCCTCAACCACACATCCAATTGAAGTGGTTCAAAGCTCATTAGAAATCTCTTGAAAAATACTACAAAAGCCTCAAAGTGGTCCATGATCAAAAAATGCATAGAATTGGAGTTATAGCAAAATTCATTTTTGGAGGGTAAATAACTTAAAAAAATTCTAAGTTATTTAACACTTGTAAGTGATTTTTTTAGAACTTTGAAGGGTTTTTCAACCTAGTTCCATCAAGAATTTGGAAATTCCCAAAACATTAAAGTTGTAGAGCTACTTAAGGGCTTTCCAAATTGTGGTAGAACTCCTTAATATCATGTTTGAGCAGGAAGTTATGCACCATGGAAGTTGGGCCTGTCAACACTTAAAACCACACTCCAACACTTCCCAAAAATCAGTTTTTCACAACTTGGACTATCCTCAACCCTTGGATTGCAATTCAAACTGATAATGTGAGGTGTGGATGAGGAGAAAACCAGAAAATGAGTTAGTTTGATAAGCATGGCAAGTTGTAGCAAGTTGGTATTAAAATAATCATTAAAAGGGAGGAAAGAGAAACTTTTCTCCCAAGATGTGACAGCTGCAGCCCCCTACCTCACTAGCTTCATTTCAAGTCATCTCAAGTCCTTCATATCAGTTGTTCCTTGCTTGCATTGAGCCTTGTAACTGATGTGAAGATGGCTGCCACTAGATTTGGAAGGATTTTCTTCCAAATCTCCCTCCAAAAATGGAAATGACAAAGGTTGCCCTCACCCTCACATCTCCTATAAATAGAGGCATCCTCACCATCTGCAAAACACACCAGAGAAATATCATAACACCACAACTCTCACTCTCCTCTCACTCATCAAGAAATCTCCAAATCTTCAAAACTTCCATTTTTTTACAAAAAAAAAAAACTGTCTTGAGCAAAACTCTGCTCAAGACCAGTTCCATCCCTTCCAAACCTCTAACGATCACCCATACAATCTTTAAATGTCATATAGAAGGTGTCCATACACTCAAACCTCTCAAAAATCTCATTTTCACAAAAGTCAACTCTCATGCTAAGCTACTTTGACCATATTGCATAAAACTGGCCAAAACTTGTTCCAGCCATTTTCTTGAGTTCCTAAACACTCAAACACCTTGAAAATATCCTACCTCAACTGTTCAAATCCCTAAGAGTCAGTGGTAACACTTATTTCTCAAACTGTCTTAAGATTGGCACCTTGCTTCAAGAAGAAGGCAAGTCCAAGGCTTGGTGATGTGGAAGCATTCTCTGGTTTTCTTTGACATTTTAGCTTGCTTACAAGTTTGTCTACAAGAGGTAAGTCATCTCTAATTCAACTCATTTCATTATCATGATTTTTTCTTTGATTGTCATCAAATTTGCAATGTCACTGTTTTTGTTATGATCCATATGTTGAGTTTTAGCATTTGTGAAAGTGTGTTTGGTTGTTGCCTTAAAGCCTGTCCCTTATCATGCCTCTAATGTGTGTGTATGCTTTGATTTGCCTAGAACATCACCCTTGTCAAAATTGCTCTGCTGCTACAACATGAGCAAACATGTTTGCATCAATATATCGATTCCATTTTGCATTGGCATTTTGGTTGGTCTATGAGTTGAAACTCATTTGTTATCTCATCTATAGCATGTGTATATGTTTATTTCTATTCAAATATGCTTTATGCTGATTTTGGAATTGTTCATGCTTGGTCATGTTGCTAAGTAGCAGTTGGGATGCCATTTCCCACCTCAATCTGTTTTGGACCCTTCTTGGTGTTTAGACACCCTTGATATTATGTATGTATGATGTGTATGAGGTTACCTGGCCCAATT